ACTTTTGTTGCTTGGAATGCAATTCTTCTCGTCCTTAGCTTGGTGAGCCTAGTTTTACATTCAAGACAGTTCCTTTCTCTTTAAATCGAAAATCAGCGTTTTCTAGTTGTATTTAAACATTAATGTTGTTTCTTCCGCACAACTTAACAAAATTAAAGCAATGTAAATCGTATTTCTTTCGGATAAATGTAGTTGAATTTTTTTGTTAAAATTATAGTTGTTTGTTGATTTAAGATACGCATCCGACTTCTTATTTCGTCATTGCTTCTCTTTGGATAACCATTCATACCACAATACTAATTAAATCATAATCCTGCTGACGCTCTCTACTCGAGACTTTCTTCAATAAGTTTCGAGTGAGCTAAGCAGTTTATTAAACATTGGTAGCAGAGCTGCAGATACATGGTCTTCTGGAATCTTGTGGCCCCGCATCCATTTTCGACGACGTGGTTCAACACGTTGGCCATCTTTTCTTTGGCAATCGGTTCGGTGGCACGGGGAGGAGAGGAGAATGGGAAATTTCGTCTACACTAGGCAGCCATTTCATCGTGCTGTCCTTTTCTATTACGTCACATCTACACCTTCTCTTTCATCGCCCCATCGTCAGCTTCGCAGCGGTAAGCGCCTATACCTCGACGATCGAGCGAGGTCGAGTGAGCGGGGGGAGAAGCTCTCTGCAGAAAAGTACTGTAAGTTTACACACGTTCTTTCTCTCTTTCTTGCTCTCACGTTCCAGTAGTGCTTTATCCTTATTTTTTTGAAATCTTATACGCCTTCAGGCTTGTTATTACGTTTTTGCTTGTTGTCTTGTTAAACAGTGCTTATCTTCGTTGTTATCGTAAATACATATTGTTCAGTTGTCTAAGTTAACCTTTGTTGGTTTTTTGTTGTTCGTCATGGACAAGTTAATGAAGAAGCAGGTTAAGCTGTTCAACAACATAGTTAACTTTCTAGAAAACTTCACCTCTAAAGAAGGTGTTGAGAGACAAACCTGAGAACATTTTGAGACCCGTTTAGATATGCTTGAAAAATACTGGGCTCAGTTTTTCGAATCTCATGACGATCTCGACGAGGTTAGCTTAGCAGAAAACGTTTATTTCAAATCACATTGTTACTCAAAAGCGAAAGATAGTTATACCTATGCCAAATCTGTCACTCGTAAGCGAATCAAAGATCTCTCGCTGGTCCCATGGCCAACTATTGACCCTACGCCTAATCCTGCGGTAGTTGATCAGATTTCTCTTCCTGCACTCTCGTTACCTACTTTCTCTGGTAATCACGAAGAGTGGGAATCCTTTAAGCAACGCTTCACTTCGCTGGTTCATAACAAAACGAACCTCTCAAATGTCGCGAAACTATCACACCTGTTAGCTTCAGTACAGGGAAAAGCCGCGCACAGGTTGAAGGGTTTAGAAATCACTGATGCGAATTATACCATTGCTTGGGAAGAGCTTACTCGTTGGTACGACAATATAAGACTCAGGCATTATAACAATATGGAAAAACTTATCGAACTTCCTAACGTTCGTGCACGGAATGCACAAGACCTGAACGATCTCTTAAGTCAGGTCGAGGAAACAGTACGAGCTTTATTAGATTTAGAGTGTGAGGTTGCTCAGGCTGATTCTTTTATTGCTCATTGTATCATTCGGAAGTTAGATCCTATCTCGCGAGAAAACTGGGAGATTTTACAAGAGGGACAACAGGAATTCTCTTCACATAAGGATCTAACTAAGTTTCTCGAACGTAGAATTCAAAGTTTGGAGCAGTCGCGTACAACGGCAGAAAAATCCGATGCTCGTTCAGGTTTTCAGTCAGTCAGTAAAAAACAAGTGGCTGTCCATACAGCCCAGACTGTTGATTCTACTCCTAACAAGTCAAACCCGTTTTGCGTGTTGTGCTCTGGTACGCACTGTCTCTTCGGGTGTAAAAAGTTTAAAGACATGTCAATCCAACAAAGGATTCAATTTTGCAAAAAGGAGAAGCCCTGTCTGAAGTGGCTTCAGGCTTCCCATTTTGCCGATAAATGTTCTTCAGCCAAACGGTGTTTTATATGTCAAGGAAAACATCATACTAGGCTTCATCCAGATAACCCAGGTGCTAACGTCACAAGACCAGGTTGCTCTTCAAAACCTGTGACTGGTTGCTTTCCTTCTTCAGAACACAATGACTCGACACAGCAAGCTACGACGTCGTGTTCTGCCACGATCTCATCCATCGTAGCTAACTCAACTTCTGTGGAGAGTATGGTTTTACTAGCTACTGCTTAAGTGATGCTAGTCGACTCCAAGGGGAACTCAGTTTCCGTTTGTGCTTTGATCGATCCTGGCTCACAGCAATCGTTCATTTCCAAACGAGTTGTTGAGCAACTCTCTTTAAAACCTACTAGGGTGGCTATTTCAGTTGTTGGGCTTGGTAGCGCTGTCACGTCGAAGTCACAAGCTGAAGTGCACCTGTCTGTGAAATCCAAAGTCGATTCACAGTTCAGCTTAAACGTCGCGCTTTTGGTCTTGGATGAGTTGACGAAACTCATTTTTTTGATAAGACCTGTGGTTCAGCTCTGGTCTCACATTCGAGGACTTTCTTTGGCTGACCCTCAGTTTTCTAAACCAGGCAGGGTTGATTGTGTGTTAGGCGCGGACATTTACGCATCAATCATTAAGGATGAAGGATGGTCTAAAGGTAGGACCGATTGGGACACCTGTAGCACAACAATCAGTGTTTGGGTGGCTGCTCACGGGTCAGGCCCATTCGAAAGTATTATCTAAAACAAATATTTCAATTCAGGTTTTCCTTACCTACATGGAACCGTCGATCTCAAGTCTTCTTACAAAATTCTGGGAGATAGAAGAGATTCGGTGCCAAAAGATTCTATCTCCAGAAGAAGAATTCTTTGACCAACATTTGGTTGATACTTATTATCGTAATGAGCAGGATAGGTTTGTAGTGCGTCTTCCCTTCTCGCAAATACCCAGATTCACCGGCTCTCGAGAAATTGCTCACGCTTGTCTTCTACGTCTAGAGAAACGGTTAGCGCATAATGAAAGCCTTTCGGACGCCTACAAGGCCTTCATGCTCGACTATTCGGATTCTAATCACATGGAATTGGTATTACCAAATGCCAGATCTCATGAGGGTTATTTCATGCCTCACCATGCCGTCGTCAAGCGCGACGATTCAAAAAAAATTCACGTTGTATTTAACGCATCCCAGAAGGATTCAACTGGGCTCTCGTTGAATGATGTCCTATTGCCAGGTCCCAAGTTACAAACTGAAATTTCGGCTGTCTTAGCTCAATGGCGTTTTTTCAGATATGCTTTTACTACGGACGTAGTCCAAATGTTTCGATGGATCAAGGTCCATCAAGACGACACCAAGTGGCAGTCCATCCTCTGGCGAGCTGAAGATTCACAGCCAGTTCAGGAGTTCAGGACTACGACAGTGACGTATGGGACGGCATCTGCTCCTTTCCTAGCTCTGCGAGTTATGAGGCAGTTTGCACTAGAGGGAGAAAAGACACACCCAGAAGCCACAGCCATTTTTCAATATCAGCTCTACGTTAATGATATCTTTGCTGGTTCAGATGATNGAGCCCAAGCAGCGGCGCTATTAGATTCCTCCGCCCGTGGAGCGGTGGTGGGGAGCTCTCGTGGGTATTACGAATCTAGTGGTTTGCTTACTACAGTTTCTATTTCCAAGTTCCACTGTCCAAACACACATACTCTCACAAGAGTATCCCCACCCCGGCTAGTTTGCACTAGAGGGAGAAAAGACACACCCAGAAGCCACAGCCATTTTTCAATATCAGCTCTACGTTAATGATATCTTTGCTGGTTCAGATGATCTTGAGGGAGCTCGTCATATAAGGGATCAGCTCATCTCCCTACTTGCGTCTGTGGGTATGAAACTCAGCTAGTGGGCGTCCAATCAGCCCTATGTACTCGATGAACTCCTGTCAAGCAACACATTTAACGTGGAGGTGAAATTGAACAAGGTGATATCAACTCTTGGATTGTTTTGGAATACAAAAACAGATCATTTCAATTTTTGGGTGTCAATGCCCAAACATGCAACTGAATCTACAAAGCGTATAATGCTTACTGAAATCGCAAGGTTGTTTGACCCTCTAGGTTTGTTAGCCCCAGTGCTTGTCGTCACGAAAATACTGTTACAGGAACTATGGCTTCACAAATTGGACTGGGATGAATCACTACCCGATCCATTGCTTCAGCGCTGGCTGCATTTTCGCGGTGATCTAGCTCAAGTGGCTGAAATTGCTATACCATGGTGGATCGGCTCAACTACCTCTAGCGAGTGGCATCTTCACGGGTTCGCCAACGCATCCAAACAAGCTTATGCAGCTTGCCTTTACTTCGTGCTACCTGGGAATAAGGTGACCCTGCTCATAGCAAAGTCGAAGGTGGCCCCACTAAGAGTAGTTTCGCTGCCAAGGTTAGAGTTGTGTGGAGGCTTACTTCTCACCAGGCTTGCTGCACAGCTTCTGGCCAGACTACGTCGACCACCAACGACTGTTAATTTTAGGATCGACTCTTAAATCGTCTTGGAGTGGCTTAAGGGTCAGCCTTCCAAGTGGCCGACTTTCATCGCAAACAGGGCAGGCGAGATAATCTCCTCGTTTCCAGACGCCCCTTGGAGGCATGTAAGATCGGCCCAGAATCCAGCGGACTGCGCAACTCGGGGATTCACAACATCAGAAATCTCAAACTCTGATCTTTGGTGGAATGGTCCTGCGTGGCTCACATCACCCGAGTTAGAGTGGCCACGCTCTCGAATGGACGAGCAAGAAGTTTATGTTCTCCTCACCAAGGAACTCGTGGACACTCACGAACCTTGTAGACTACTCGAATCTCTTTGCTTACCCTCACTGAAGCAAACCACTAGTTTCTTGAAAATTCTACGAATTCTTGCCTACATCAAACGTTGGCAAGTCAATGCCAAACTTTCTCGTGGCCAGAGAAATCACGGACCACTGACGGTAGATGAGATCAATGCTGCAAGAATTTTTTGCTTCGAGCGGCTCAAATTTGTCATTTGCCGACGATAGACGTCGCTTACTCGAGGACAAAGATCTGACCAAACGGAGCAGCTTAAGATGCTCACACCCGTTTATCTATGAGCAAGGCTTGATCCGAGTTGAAGGTTGGCTTGATCACTCTACTCTAACCAACGGAGAAAAGCATCCGATCATACTCCCTGGAGGCTGTTTGCTGACCAAAAGACTCGTTCAGGAAGCTCATAGTTTAACCATTCACGGAGGCCCTCAGTTGATGCTCTCGGTTCTCAACTCGACGTTCTGGATCATTCGGGGTACGAGAGTCATCACGGCAGTTTTTCACCAGTGTGTCTCTTGCGCACGATACCAAGCTAAGAACGCAAGTCAACTAATGGGACAACTTCCAGCGTATCGTCTAACCCCAACTCGGCCTTTCACAGTTACAGGGCTTGACTACGCGGGGCCCCTGTCAATCCTGTTCTCTAAAGGCAGAGGGGCTAAAAGCACTAAAGGTTACGTGGTAATCTTTATGTGTATGGTGGTTAAGGCCATACATATTAAGGTGGTATCAGATTTGACCGTTGACGCTTTCTTGGCAGCGTTTAGCCGTTTTTGTGCATGCAGAGGTACTTGCTCGACTTCAATTTCAGATAACGCCTCAACATTCAAGGAAGCTGCCCCGCAGCTCAACAAACTGTTCAACGAGTCATCTGCATTTGTCGAGGGCGTCAACAGCCAGCTAGCCATAAGAGGTATAAAGTGGACATTCATACCTCCTCGAGCGCCGCACTTTGGTGGCACATGGGAGTCAGCAGTCAAGTCCATCAAGCACCACTTCAAGAGGGTGGTCGGAACATCAACCTTTACCTTTGAAGAATTGGCAACTTTATGTGCCAAGATAGAGGCCTGCTTGAACTCACGCCCTCTTTGTCCCCTCAGCTCCGACGAAGCTTCAGCTGTTGCTCTGACTCTAGCGCATTTTTTAGTGGGTTCTTCATTACTGGCCTACCCTGAGCCCTACTGTGAACAATTGATCGTCAAAAATAATACTAACACTAATAATAACAGTAATAATAACTTCTTTTGGGCCAGGTGGAAAAAGGAGGTGCTGCATCACATGCAGCTTCGCAACAAGTGGCTAAAGCCCCAGCCAAATCTACAGGTCGGTGACATCGTTCTCTTAAAGGAGGACAATATTCTGCCAAGCCATTGGCCATTGGGTCGGGTGACAATAACTCACAAAGGGGATGACAATTTGATACGTGCAGTAACTGTACAGACGACCACATCCACCTTTAAGCGACCAGTGGTCAAATTGGTGAAACTACCCACTGAATCGGAGCTTCAACGTTGTTATCAAGATCACTTCAAGAACCAAGCAAGTGACCAAGTGCAGTAAAGGTGACACTAACAGTTGAAATATTAAAAGTTCTATAGTTAACTTTGTTTTTCATGATTCTGACCGTTAGTTTTTTCTACTAATTAAATGTTATTCGTAACTCTTTCCTTAATCATTGAACATTTTTTTTTTTTTTTTACATTTAAAGATTTAAATTTGACCTATTATTTCTATTAGCGATAGCTTATCTTTAGTACTTTTGCCTACCAAAGGACTTTTTAACTATTAAGTTGACGTAACATCTAGATAATTTTTTTTTTTTCTTGTAAGCGAGTTTGCTTCTTTAAAGTTGATTCCTCTCGTTTTTACCGCAAACGGCATCAAAGAGGGCAGCTATGGTCATGGGAAAATAGGATTGTAACACCAAGCCGACGGTGAGCCCAAGCAGCGGTGCTATTACATTCCTCCGCCCGTGGAGCGGTGGTGGGGAGCTCTCGTGGGTATTACGAATCTAGTGGTTTGCTTACTACAGTTTCTATTTCCAAGTTCCACTGTCCAAACACACATACTCTCACGAGAGTATCCCCACCCCGGCTCCTCAAGCGCTCGGGCTTCTCAACGCAACGAGGCCCCGCGCTGGCTCTATTCGCCTACAGACTGGTGTGCGAGTAACACCTGCGGGATAGCCTGTTTTCTGCTGCTGAGTCGGGACAGTTTTTGAAGCACATCATGCTATTTAATAATTATGTGCTGCCTCTCTACTTTTGTTGCTTGGAATGCAATTCTTCTCGTCCTTAGCTTGGTGAGCCTAGTTTTACATTCAAGACAGTTCCTTTCTCTTTAAATCGAAAATCAGCGTTTTCTAGTTGTATTTAAACATTGATGTTGTTTTTTCCGCGCAACTTAACAAAATTAAAGCAATGTAAATCGTATTTCTTTCGGATAAATGTAGTTGAATTTTTTTGTTAAAATTATAGTTGTTTGTTGATTTAAGATACGCATCCGACTTCTTATTTCGTCATTGCTTCTCTTTGGATAACCATTCATACCACAATACTAATTAAATCATAATCCTGCTGACGCTCTCTACTCGAGACTTTCTTCAATAAGTTTCGAGTGAGCTAAGCAGTTTATTGAACAGTTTCAACGTTATTTTCTTTCCTAAAGACGTAGATTATGTTCAGTTATTTTAGACTCCTTTAACTCCAAGAACTATCAACTTATGGAACTTTTCCTGTATATCTACAGTTATATTATGCTTGAAGAAAGGCCATGTTGCAACAAAAAAAAAAGAAGACTGATGTTATTTGTATGTGCATGTAGAGTATACATGAGACGTTACTATAAACAGTTCTTACTTCGAAGAGAACTTCATTAGCCAACGTAACGATGAAAAGTTTAATCAAAAAATTCTATTTTTTTCAGATTTTCGTTAGATAATGTTGCCTTTCGCTGTATAATTCATTGCTTTAATTCAGAAGACTGAAACAACGCGGTAAGAAGAAAAAACACGATGTAAAGAAGTTAAAAAAAAAAGGCTTGGTATAGGTTTTAACTGACAGTTTAATAGTGGAGCTGACTCCGAGTCTAAACAAAAATTAGGACCAAAAAAAAGCCCCTTAATTAAAGAAAGTTACAACCAAAAAAGTTGACTCCGTAAAAATATAATTTCGAATTATTCAAAGATAATGTCCAGAGCTCGAAAAACTTAAAACGCAGACAAAAAGATATTGCAAAGGCCAACTTATAAAAGACAAGAACACATACGCAAACAGAAAAATATGGAAAAAGCACTTAAAACAACAATGACGCTATTCATAAAGCAGTATACGAAAAAAATTAAGAATACGTTACAAACCCATTAAAAATAAAATTAGTAGACAGAGAGCAAAATTAATTTTTTTTAATGATAAAAAGAAAGTATATTGAAAAAAGTTATTGTATAAGTTGTGACGTACCAGCAGTTCCATATGAAAAAATCAAGTCAGTGAGCCATTAGGGATTCCTACTAGCTAAAGCTAGCCTGGGAATCGAAAAATGTTAAAACCAAATGAAAACAGCAAGCAAACAAATTATAAAAAAGGTTCAAATAAAATTACTTATGTACTAAGATTACTAGATAGCACAGGCAAGCCTCACAGAAGATGTAGCTAAAAAGAAAAGGGGAATCTTTAACTCTATTAACCATAGAAAGAACTATCGCAGTCACAGGTATATGAAATGAGAATAAAAGTTAAAAGGACGAGAAAAGTGACTGCAAGGCCTAGGCTCATGGGCAAGGTAAATTTTAAGAGAATAAGGAGAAGCTATTGAATATACCAAGTATGATTGAATCAAGTTGACTGTCACTGAAAAATTAGGAACCCAGTGAACTGACTAGTAAAAGTTCACGTGAAAAGCAAATAAATAAATCGTGAAAGTATATATACAAGCGTAATAAAGTCCAAAAAAAGGCACCAGATTAAAAAAAAAAAAAATGTAAGTGATACTAGACAACTTCGATGACAGATTCCAAGCAACAGTTAGACAAGAAGTCAAGAGTCAAGACTTAAAAAGTAAAACGGGCATTACGTAGATATGTAAAATTTTGATACCATCACGAATTGACTACTTAAGCGGTAAACTACAAAGTACGGGTAATAATACAGAAATTTCTGAACAACCCTCTCAAGAAAAAATGGGTTATGGAAATACAGTTCAGTATACAAGTAATAAAGTAGAAATGAAAGAACGTTAGGTTAAAGTAAACAATAAGGACTAAAACGTTGTGTAACACAAGAGAAATTCTATGAAAAATTGCATCTATATGAATAAAAAGATGCGCCCACTTAAATGAACCACCATCATCTCAAGACTCTTAAAGCAACTTTCAGCCACTAACTGATGATAAGTTACAGGTATTGAAACAACAAATACTCCTCTATGTTTCAAGTCTCAACTGGTGCTATTTTTATAAGCCACAACTTGAATTACAGTTTTCACATAAAACAAAAAAAAAATGCCATCGCAAATTATACCAGAAAAAGTAATATGATTATAATGTATACACGCTAACTGTGTCATTAAAATAACGTAAACGTAAATTAAATTAAAAAACATGTTAATCCTTAAAACTAACTTTGTTATTTTGAAACTTGCTATGGCAGTTTAAACACAATTGATCGTCAAAAATAATACTAACACTAATCACATGCAGCTTCGCAACAAGTGGCTAAAGCCCCAGCCAAATCTACAGGTCGGTGACATCGTTCTCTTAAAGGAGGACAATATTCCGCCAAGCCATTGGCCATTGGGTCGGGTGACGATAACTCACAAAGGGGATGACAATTTGGTACGTGCAGTAACTGTACAGACGGCCACATCCACCTTTAAGCGACCAGTGGTCAAATTGGTGAAACTACCCACTGAATCGGAGCTTCAACGTTGTTATCAAGATCACTTCAAGAACCNTTAATAAAAAACAATAACAATAGTAATAATCCTCTAGTAGAGGCAGTCAGCCTATGGGGCATGTCTCTCTTGGTGGCAAATGGAGGCTTTTTCATTAGAGTACGGTTCTGAGGCATAGCAGTTGTCAGAGCTTGTGCCTGTACGTGGTTTAAACAAAACAAAACATTTTATGGGCTAGAACGCTGAAGAAAAGACCTCTTAAAAAAATCTAGGGTAGGTCCCTGAATAAAACCTCAAATGGAAGACGCTAATGAAAATATAGTACATCTGGACTCATGGATCCTGGGGGAGGCCCCAAAGGCACCCAGCACAAAAATGAGGAAACAAACTCCGATAAAAACACCCACAGAAGCGTTCTTGGCCAGCCATAGACGAGACAGGCTGCTAAGCACTAAAAGTAGAGCAAGTGATGTCAGCGCTGATAGCTTTTTTAGTGAAAATACCTAAATGAATCTGAAATATACTAGCAGTTTAGGATCAGAGATAACAATAAAGTGGACCCAGGAAATCTTAGTATTTAGAGAGCTCAAATAAATTATGAAAAATATGGTGAAAGCAGCAATAACAACCAACATATAAACAACAATACCGTTAAAAGCAGATATTAAAATGATAATATACCATTTTTGGACTACATGGAATGACAGGATTACACAGATATAGGTCCATCTCGTGAAAAACTGTTAAGGTTATTTTCTTAGGATCTGGATGCCTTGCGTGTAATAACATAAAAATTGATTTAAGTTATAGAGGCAAATATTAATCACATAAAACATAAAAAAAATGACGAATACTTTTTATATGGGTTAATTAAAGAAAATTAGTACAATGATCACAACATCCATGCAATCTATGTTTAATTATAGAATGCCCTATAATAATAACCCAATAACCCTAGGTTGTCATAAAATAAAATTGTTTTATAAAGATATAAATACAACTATATTTTCTTAACAACAAAATCTCAAACTCGCTACTTTATTATTTCAGCCAAAGAGTATTTATTACATTGAGAAAAAAAGTGCTTGTTTACAAAAGTTTTATGACAAATTAACGTATACCAAACATTAAGAAGAATAAACAACTAAAATGAAATGAAAAATCGTTGAGAATAATACACATACACTCATGGGCGCTTTCAAGTAAAATGAAACACGTGGCGCGCACAGCGCTTTTTCACATTAGAAACGTTATTTTCAACTTGCTTAAAACGGATGGTAAATAGTTAAAAAAAGGATTTGAGACATAAATCGATGGATTTCAATTTGCTCTTTAAGATGGATTCCTCATTTTATACGCAAAATTTTTTTTGCTTGCCTAATTTGATGCGCAGTTAAGGCTGTTTTTTTCAAAGTACGTTTTTATTTTTTAATTTAAATTTGTCAAAATCCTAACTCTTAAAGTACAGACAGGCCTATTTTTAAGTTTGGACTTATAAAACTGTGTAAATTATATGCACTTAGAGATAGTGGGGTGTATTCTTTTGGTTTCCTGCACGTGTCTTGGTAAGTGCTGGGTGAGATACTGTCTTACAACTCGCTTATAATGCAAGACAAGTGGTTAAGAAAATAATTGAAAATCCACAAATTTACATATTTTGATTTATTTTT